CCACTGAAGTGGGCCCAGTTGCCAGGCTGCAGAGAATCCAGTCACCAATCTATGCAGGCCCACAAGTTGCCTGAGTGCTTGTTGTTGGGTGGGGCCAGTCTCTAGGGTGGGCTGTCTGCCCTGGCTGAGCTGGATTAAATCAGTGCTCTAGTGGGTGGGGCAGACCCTGGGCTATCAGGCCCCAGGGAGAACTTCAATGGCGTCTGCCAATGTCTGTGTCAGCATGCCCACACCACGCCACAACATTGGCCACTGCCAGTGTCCCAGTCCCTGGAGAGGTCTCACCTCTCACTGAGATGCACTCAGAGCCTATCAAGTGAGTCTCTGTTCACCAAAATACTGTGCATCTTTTTTTCTGGTGATTTTTAGGTTGCTTTCTCAAACGGGTGAATTTGTGCATGGGCCCTTTACGAGCAGGTTTTAATTTCTTTGTGAACCAGGTTTTCTGGGGGTACTCCCAATGTTTTAGTAGCAGGCAAAGTCAGATGTTATGCCACTTGTCTCAATTATGCTGGGTCCACAAAATGCCTACCACGGGGGTGCTCCTGGCTCAGGGCCCCGCTCCTCCAGGGAGGCTACGTACCTGTGGGCTGCTCCCTGGTGGCCATGAAGCTGGCGGCTTGTGGAGGTAGTGTTTTTCCTCTCCAGAAGGGAGTTTTTGCCTCTTCCACCTCAATTAGGATTGTCGTTTGTTGCAGGAGTTCCTCTTATCCAGTTTTCAGTTCTATCTCAGGGGTAATTTTTCCACGAGTAGTTGTCAGTTGGCTGTGTCTGCAGGAGGAGGTGAGTTCAGAGTCTGCCTATGCTGCCACCTTGACTTCTCTCCTCAATGATATTCTAACTCTTGTTTTTCACGTGTTCTCTTTTGCTGTATAAAATCTCATCAGTCAGGTATACTGACTTACTGATATTATAACTTATTACCATCCACGTTTTAACTTGAGAATAGTAGTGATAAATTCAAAAACAGTACCGAATTTTGTTCAAGAATCTTTTGTTTAAACAGGCAATACATTTTAGGAAAATGGTTAAAATAAATAATTTTTGTGCCTAATGGAGTAAGCTTTACTGATATACTATCTCAGTGATGCCACCTGAATAGACGTTTAGCATAGTACATAGTCTCTTCTTTCAGAACAGTTTAAAATTCAGTTACTTATAGATTTTTAATCCTTTATAAATCCTTAGATTGGGCTTATTTTTGTGGAAATAGTAATAATGGCTTATATAATAAAAGTTATAATTTTTGATATATCGTTACAGATTTTAAGTCACACATAGTCTGAGACGTTTTAATCAAGAAATTTTAAGCACTGTTTGGAGGGATTAACTTATGTAAAATTGTTGTTTTGCTTTTTCTGTTACATTTGTCTTCACACTCAGTTGTTCTGGATTCTCTAGGAACAGATATCCTATATTATTCCAATTGATGAGAAACCATATACTGTGCACCTTAAGCAAAGGTAATTTTTTATTCTTTAGTTTTGGATTTTATTTTATTTATATGAATTTGTTTACTTATAGTGAAAAATGGAGTATTCAAAAATTATAAATGTAGTTGTTATTAACATTTTTAGTTGTTTCAGGTGAATAGATGCTTTCCTGTAAATTAATTCAATTTTTGGTCCTAATGCCTCGAGTAGTCTTTTGTGAATAGGAGGGTGAGGAACAGAAAAAATAGTGACTCACCTCCTGAAGAATAATCTATACAATCTTAAGATGGCAGAACCACCAAGACCTTTATAATCATGGCAGGATGTCACAATAAGTAAGTCTGTCACTGATTGTATCCATTAGGGTTTGATCGGGAAGGCAGACCCACCACCAGCGATATGGAATAAGGGATTTAATATAGAATTTAGATCATATACTGTTGTGGGAGCTGGTGAATAGTTTATGGAAAACAGTACTAGCTATATGCCATCCTTCAGAGAATTGAGAAAATAATTGAAATAATATTCTATAGGGTTTAGTTCTCTGATGAAAACCCAGTTGAAAAAGCTTGGCTTGGAAGTAACTTGTGACTTTAAGAGGCTAGTTTCAGTTAAATTTTGGGAGTAGAACTAGACTACATGGTATTAGGGAGAGGCAACTTGTGAGAAACTGAAAGTAGTAAGTGTAAATAACTTTTTCAAAACTGTTTGGCAGTGGGCCGGCTCCGTGGCTTAGCGGTTAAGTGCGCGCGCTCTGATGCTGGCGGCCTGGGTTCGGATCCCGGGCGCGCCCCAAGGCACCACTTCTCTGTCCAGCGCGAGGCCGAGTCCCACGTACAGCAACTAGAAGGATGTGAACCTATGACATACAACTATCTGCTGGGGCTTTGGGGGGAAAAAAATGAATAAATAAAATCTTTAAAAAAAAAAAAAAAAACTGGCAGAGAAAGAAGAAAGAGAAGACTCAGATGAATGCTTTTTAATAAAGAAGAATCAAAGTGCTTTTGGCTGAGGGGAAGTTTCTTAAAAAGAGATGTGTAAACAATGATTCATTGTGTAAGATGCCGAAGAATGGCATTGAGTAAAAGAGTTAACCTAATCCTTTAGACAGAAGGGAAGAAGAATATGGTAAATGACCACCCAAAGAACTTTTCAAGTATATAAGAGGGAAAGTGAGAGAAATAACATTGCTTTTGAACATCTTATCGGGACTATAAACAGTGAAATATAGAGACTGGAGCCTGGGAGTTTGATAGAGCATGTGTATATTGTTTTGGGAAATTATCTGCATAATGATTATGACAGCATAATGACAATTAGGAAGCTATTGAAAATAACTTATAGGAGAAACAATGGGAAGCAGAACTGTGACTGTGTAGAGGTGAGGACTTTTTTATTTTTTGAGACATACTTAGGTAGCAGAAAAAAGATTAGCTAACAGATAAGATATAGTGGTGGCAGAGATTTGGTGGGGCAATGAAAGAGAAGGGGAACAGATCTGGGACAGAGGAAATATGGGCTAATTTTTGGAGAATTTGGGTATGAAGTACTTGTGGGATATCCCAGGAGAAATATCCAGTTGACAGGCTGTTTACAATATGAGAGAGAGATGTGGCTTTCAAAGCCATCTTTTTATATAGGTATAAAGGAAGCACCAGAAATGAACAAGATAAATCTATGGGGGGGGGGCGATTATTAAAGGCGAGACTGAAAAACAACCCAGAATTGAATCCCATGGAAACATTTAAGGGAAGAATCAAGGATACAGATGAAGGGACTTATAAAGTAGACAAAGTTATGAGAGAAACCAGGGAGAAATGGTATGATTGAAGTTGAAGAGTATATGGTTTGAAAAAGGGGAATGTGGTCAACAACATGAAGTGCATGAGAGTAGTTTGACTTGACTTCAAACTGCCTTTTGGATTTCACAACTAAGGGGTCGTTAGTAACCTATAAGATCAGTTCAATGGGGGATTCCCAAAGGAAGCTAGTCTGAGTGGTCTAGTTACGTTACATTGGATTGAGGAGTGAGCACAAGGTGAGGAAGCATAACTAAAGTAGCATATTAAGTACAAGCAATGATGCCAGAGAAGGTGGAACTTGTAGTTTCAGTACTTGTGCTCAGATTAATATGACTTTTACACAATACTCTTCCATTTCATTATAGAGGTAATACATATGCATGGTAGTAAAATTTAGAAAGACGGAAAAAACAGAACTCTCGTAATCCTACATCCTTTGTTCATATCTTTGTAAATTTTAAAATCCGTTCATATCTTTGTAAATTTTAAAATGCTTTTATCTCATCTTGTAGTCTCTCGCCTTATTCAAAGAGTCCATTGAGATAGGAAAATTATTTTGAGTAATTGTGCATTTCTTTATGTCAAAAGAAAATACTGTGTTAGTCAGGAGTTGGCAAACTTTTTTTCTTAGGCTTTGAGGGCCATACTCGCTCCGTCAAAATGCCTCCACTCTGCTGTTGTAGCACAAAGCAGCATAGACCATACATATAAGTGAATGGGTGTGGCTATGTTCCAACAAAATTTTATTTACAAAAACAGAGGTATTTAAGGGTGTTAATTTGCTGACTGCTGCTTTATATGTTTCAAAAAGAATAACTTTTTAAATTCTCTCTCTTTTATATTCAGAATTTTTTTAGCAGATAATTTTATGGTTTATTTGTATAATCAAGGATCTGTGAATTCTTATTCTTCAAATATTCAGGTAAGATTTAAGTTCTCTGTTTTACAGATTTTGAAACCTTTTTTACATTGAAAATGGTTTCCTAATGCAGAAGACTTTGTAGTCACAGGAAATATAATTAAGGGATCATCCATTTATTGCCTCATTTTCCCCATTATTAGGCAGAAAGTCTCTTTTTTATTGTGTAAGTTTCAGATATACGGCTTTATAATTCAACATGTGTATATACTACAAAGTGATCACCACCACAGGTCTAGTTACCATCCATCACCATACAATTGACCCTCTTCACTCATTTCACCCACCCCCTAACCCCCTTCCCTGCTGGTAATCACTAATCTGTTCTCTGTATCTATGAGTTTTGTTTTATTTTGTTTTGTTTTTTTAGATTCTACATATGAGTGAAATCATATGGTATTTGGTTTTCTCTGTCTGACTTATTTCACTTAGCATAATACCCTCAAGGTCAATTTTATGTCGTCACAAATGGCAAGATTTCATTCTTTTTTATAGCTGAGTAGTATTCCATTGTGTATATTTACCACGTCTTCTTTATCCAATTCATCCATCAGTGGGTACTTAGGTTGTTTCTGTATCTTGGCTATTATAAATAATGCTGCAATGAACATAGATGTGCACATATCTTTTTGAGTTAGTGTTTTCATTTTTTTCAGATAAACACCCAGAAGTGGAATTGCTGATTCATATGGTAGTTCTATTTTTAATTATTTGAGGAACCTTCATACTGTTTTCCGCAGTGGCTGCACCAATTTACATTCCCACCAACAGTGCACAAGGGTTCCCTTTTTTCCATATGCTTGCCAACACTTGTTATTTTTTGTCTTTTTGATAATAGGCGTTCTGACAGGTGTAAGGTGACAACTCGTGGTTTTGATTTGCATTTCCCTGATGATTAGTGGTGTTGAGCGTCTTTTCATGTACCTGTTGGCCATCTGTATGTCTTCTTTGGAAAAATGTCTGTTCAGGTCCTCTGCCCATCTTTTAATTGGATTGTTTGTTTTTTCTCGATATTGACTTTATGAGTTCGTTATATATTTTGGATATTAACCCTTTAGCAGATATATGATTTGCAAATATCTTCACCCATTTAGTAGGTTGTCTTTTTGTTCTGTTGATGGTTTCCTTTGCCGTGCAAAAACTTTTTAGTTTGATGTGGTCCCATTTGTTTATTTTGGTTTTGTTGTCCTTGCCTGAGGAGACAGATCTAAGAAAATATCACTAAGACTGATGTCAAAGAGCTGACTATGTATGTTTTCTTCCAGGAGTTTTATGGTTTAAGGTGTTACATTCAATTTTTTAATCCATTTTGAGTCTTTTGTTTATTTATTTATTTATTTATTTATTTATTTATTTATTTATTGTGAGGAAGATCAGCCCTGAGCTAACATCCGATGCCAATCCTCCTCTTTTTTGCTGAGGAAGATTGGCCCTGGGCTAACATCTGTGGCCATCTTCCTCTACTTTATATGGGATGCCACCACAGCATGGCTTGACAAGCGGTGTGTTGGTGTGAGCCGGGGATCCGAACCTGCGACCCCTCGGGCTGCCGAAGTGGAGTGTGTGCACTTAAACCACTGCGCCACCAGGCTGGCCCCGAGTTTATTTTTGTATATGGTGTAAGACAGTAGTCCAGTTTCATTCTTTTGCATGTGGCTGTCCAGTTCTCCCAAGACCATTTTTTGAAGGGACTGTCTTTTCCCCATTGTATATTCTTGCTTCTTTTGTCATGGATTAATTGACCATATAAGCATGGGTTTATTTCTGGGCTCTCTGTTCTGTTTCATTGATCTATGTGTCTGTTTTTGTGCCAGTACCCTACTCTTTTGGTTACTGTAGCTTTGTAGTATAGTTTGAAATCAGGAAACATGATTCCTCAAGCTTTGTTCGTCTTTCTTAAGATTGTTTTGGCTATTCTGGGTCTTTCGTGGTTTCATACAAATTTTAGGATTGTTTGGTCTAGTTCTGTGAAAAATGCCATTGGTATTTTGATGGGGATTGCATTGAACTTGTAGATTGCTTTGGGTAGTATGGACATTTTAATAATAGTTCTTCCAATCCATGAGCACGGTGTATCTTTCCCTTTACTTATGTTGCCTTCCATTTCTTTCATCCATGTCTTATAGTTTTCAGAGTACAAGTCTTGTATCTCCTTAGATAATGTATTTCTAGATATTTTATTTTATTTTTTTGTGAGGAAGATCGACCCTGAGCTAAAAACATTGCCAGTCCTCCTCTCTTTGCTTGAGGAAAATTGTCCCTGAGCTAACATCTGTGCCAGTCTTCCTTTAGTTTTTGTATGTGGGACACCACCACAGCATGGTTTGATGAGTGGTATGTAGGTCCGCACCTGGAATCCAAACCTGCGAGCCCAGGGCCGCTGAAGTGGAGTGTGTGAACTTAACCACTACGCCACAACTTAACCACAGGGCCACCGGGCTGGCCCTGATATTTTATTCTTTTTGATGCAATTGTACATGGGATTGCTTTCTTAATTTCTCTTTCTGATAGTTCGTTATTAGTGTATAGAGACACAATCAACTTTTGTGTATTAATTTTGTATCCTGCAATTTTAGTGAATTCATTTATTAGTTCTAATAGTCTTTTGGTGGATTCTCTATTTATTCTACCTATGGTACTGTGTCATCTGCAAATAGTGAAAGTTTTACTTCTTTCTTTCCAATTTGGATGCCTTTTATTTCTTTTTCTTGACTGACTACTACGGCAGGACTTCCAATACTATGTTGAATAAGAGTGGTGAGAGTGGGCATCTTTGTCTTGTTCCTGTTCTTAGAGGGATAACTTTCAGTTTTTCACTGTTGAGTATGATGTTAGCTGTGTTATCATATGTGGCCTTTATTATGTTGAGGTACTTTCCTTCTGTACTCATTTTACTCAGAGTTTTTATAAAAAATGGATGCTGAATCTTGTAAAATGCTTTCTCTGTATCTATTGAGGTGGTCATGTGATTTTTATTCTTCATTTTGTTAATGTGGTATAGCATGTTGATTGATTTGCGGATGTTTAACCATCTCCTTGCATCCCTGGAATAAACCCCACTGGATTATGGTGTCTGATCCTTTTAATGTATTGTTGAATTCAGTTTACTAATATTTTGTTGATAATTTTTGCACATATGTTTATCAGGGATATTGGCCTGTAATTTTCTTTTATTGTGGTGTCCTTGGATTGAAAACCTTTCCTTTTTTTTTACCTCCATCCCATCCATCAATAAATCTTATTGATTCTACCCTTCAAATTTATATCCAGATCTATGTTCTTCCTCTGTCTCCATCCACTGATACCACTCTTTTCTCAGTAAACATCATATCTAGTTTGAATTATTGCCATAACTTTCTGAATAGCCTCCCTGGTTTCACACCTTGCCCATCCCCTTAGTCAATTCTCAACATGGCAACCAGATAGATCTTATTAGAACCTAGTCAGATTACATGCTTCTCTGCTCAGAACCCGCCATGGGATGACCTCCTCTTGCTCGCAAAGTGAAAACCAAAGTCATTTTATATCTGACAACCTTTACACAGTCTGATCGTCTTTACCTGTCTGACCTCATGTCCTGTTATTTTCTACATTGTGCATCTGTTCCAGCCACACTGATCTCTCTCTTGTTCTTTTTTTTTGCTGAGGCAGATTCACCCTGAGCTAACATCTGCTGCCACTCTTCCTCTCTTTTTTTTTTGTATGTGAACCACTGCCACAGCATGGCCACTGACAGACAAGTGGTGTAGGTCCGTGCCTGGGAACTGAACCCAAGCTGCCGAAATGGAGCACACTGAGCTGAACCATTAGGCCACCGGGGCTGGCCCTCTTTGTTGTTCTTCAGACATACCAGACATTTTCTTCTTTCAAGGACTTTGCACTTTCTATTTCCTTTGATCCATATGCTTTCTGTTTTTCTCCCTTGTGTCCTTCAGGTCTTTGCTCAAAATCGCCCTATTAGTCTTTGACTAACCCCTATTTTAAATTACACTCTTACCCTTAGTATTCTCTTTCCTTACCTGTTTTGTTTTCCTAGAGAGTGGTTACCAATATATGATGTGCCATATATTTTATCTATTTACTTTGTTTTCTGTTTCCCCAGTGTGATATAATCTTCCTGAGGGCAGGGCTTTTGGTCTGTTTTATGCACTGATGTATCACTAGTGCTTAGAAAGATGCCTGGCACATAGTTAGTGTATAATAATAATTTGTTGAAATATATAATTGGACACCATATTTTTTCATGGATGTATTGAATAGGACTGTCAGTTTCCTTTTCTTGCTCCTTTGTTCTCCCCTTAGTTCCAACTTAAAGCAGTGTGTTAATAAGAAATCTTACATTGATTTCACCAAAATTTATAGCACAATTGAATCTCGGAAATTATGTAATCTTCCATATTTTTCCTGTGGTGATGTATACTGTATCTCTAGCTGAATTGTTCTGTGGTCAGAGACCAAACTTTGTATGACTTCAGTCCTTTAAAATTTGTTGTTGTGCTTCATGGCCCAGAATATGGTTTCGTTTTTGTAAATGTTGCATGTTCTTTAAAAAGAAAGTGTATTCTGCAGTTTTTAAGTATAGTGTTCTACCTATATTAAGTTGTCAACATGCTGTTCAAATCTTCTATATATTCTGAATGCTTGATTTATCGATTACTGACAGAAATGTATGTTTAAAAATCTTTTACTATGATTGTGCATTTCTCTATTTTTTTTTTTTTGTGAGGAGGTCAGCCCTGTGCTAACATCTGCCAATCCTCCTCTTTTTTTGCTGAGGAAGACGGCCCTGGGCTAACATCTGTGCCCATCTTCCTCCACTTTATATGGGACGCCGCCACAGCATGGCCTGCCAAGCAGTGTGTCGGTGCGCGCCCGGGATCCGAACCAGCGAACCCCGGGCCGCCGCAGCGGAGCGCGCACACTTAACCGCCTGCGCCACTGGGCCGGCCCCTGCATTTCTCTATTTTTATTATTCTTTCAATTTAGGCTTTATATATTGTGAAGCTATATTATTAAGTGAATACAAATTTGGAATATTTATATCTTGCTGGTGAATTTGAGTATGATGAAATTCTTATCATTATGAAATTATGATACCTTATTGCTAGTAATGCATTTTGCTTGTAAGGCTACACTTTCTGTATTAGTGTAGTTTCAGAATCATCCTTTTGGTTTGTGTTGGCATGGTATATCTTTTTCTAGCTCTTCAATATTCCTGTGCCCTTAAATTTTAGATATTTCTTTTTAGCAGAATTTTAAAGAAATCCAGATTCACAATCTTTGCCTTTTAATTGATGACTTAAAGTTATCTATTGGAAAATAATTTTACTTAAAATATGGATAACACTTTGGAAGCAGGGTGTAAAATAATAATCTCAAGTATTAATCTGAAAAGAGTCGTTAATATAGTGAAAGTGGCAAATATGGGGAGACTTTTTTCTGAATGTCACTTTATTCATACTGATTATAAACCAGTATGGTTATAAACCAGGTAGCCTGTGAAAAATATTCAGAAAGTTCTATTAAGTATAAAAGTAAGAAATCATTAGAAAGTTTTGTCAATTCCTAAGTAACTGCTTCACTTTTATTCTTTTCTAGGCTCAGTGCTACTACCAGGGACATGTTGAAGGATATCCAAGTTCTGTTGTTGCACTTAGCACGTGCTCTGGACTGAGGTTATGTATTTTCTATCATTGATATACAAGCACCATAGTTATGATGTTTGGCTGCAGTAAATTTGTTATGTTTTTATTAAATGTGCAGCTGGAAGAGGATTCCATGTGGAGATTATTCAGTGATATCCTCCTCTGAACATGTTTTTCTTACTTCTCCTCACTGACCAGAGATATTTCTAATGTCCTTGAAGGTTTCAGTTTCCTGGTCTTCTTGCTCTATATCTTGTTTCTTCTTAACTGTAGAAATGATGATTCAACATGCTTGAGTATAGCAAGTTGGAGGGAATAAATTTAAGGTAGCTTATTTTTTCAGTAAATAGAATATTTTTAATACCTACCGTGTACCAGCTACTAGCTTAGTGTTTGGAGACATAAATATAAATAAAGATAAACAAGGCATGCTTTTTCTCAAGGAATCATCTTTAGAGAAAGAAAGCAAACTCTATATAAACGTCATTATTAATATAGTGCTCATATTTTTCTAATATCACTATCTTAAACTCTCTAAGAATTATAGAGTTTCCTCCTTAGTGCTTAGAGTTTTCCATTCTGTCAGTAAGTTCTTCACCTTCATTTTGTAGTGTAGGATCCTTGTTTTTGCAACCAAATTTTCCTTGGTGCTTTTTACATGGAACTCTGAAATTTGGTTTTTAGGGATTAGGCACTTGAATTGTTACCTGTATTCAGGGAAGAATAGTTATAAAAATTGTTAACTCTTTAAAATCTTGCTTTTAATTTCTTTTTTTTTAAACTTTGTTTATTTTTTGGTGAGGAAGATTTGCGCTGAGCTAACATCTGTGCCAGTCTTCCTATATTTTGTATGTGGGTCGCTGCCACAGCATGGCTGCTGATGAGTGGTGTTGGTCTGTGCCCGGGGAACCAAACTCGGGCCACTGAAGTGGAGCATGCCGAACTTAACCACTAGGCCATGGGGCCAGCCTTGCTTTTAATTTCTTATTCAGACTATGTGCATAAACAAAATTAATAAATGTGTTTTCATAATTACTGTTAAATTTTACTTTTATAAATAAGATTTCTTATTATATATCCTTTTGTTATACAAGCAATGTAATCATTTTTCAAAAGCAGTGCAAGCTAGAGAGAAAGTCATCAAAATTTCTATTTACTATTGCTTTCATTAAGTCATTGACTTGAAGCACAGGGGAATTATTTGATCACTATAATGCTGTATACTTGTACACCTAGCAACTGATTACATAATTTCTCCTGCATTTATAAGTATAAAGAAAATGAAATGAAAAACTAGTTTTATAGATTGGGGAAGATCTTTTTTCTCTTCAGAGTCGTCTCCAAAAAAGAGTTTGGGTCAAAATACTGATCTCAAAGATGTTCTGTATCTTTCTTCGTGTTTTTTTGTTTTTGGATTCTGTCAGAGTTTTAGAATATAGAATTGATTACAAGCACTTACATTTTAATCCTTAATTTTACAGAGGAATACTGCAATTTGAAAATGTTTCTTATGGAATCGAGCCTCTGGAGTCTACAGTTGAATTTCAGCATCTTCTTTATAAATTAAGGAATGAAAACAATGAATTTGCTGTTCTTACTGAAAATAACCGAGGCATAGAACAAAACCCAATGAACTATAATATTTTTATCAGTGAAAAAGTGAGTTGTGTATGCTTTATTATTACTTTCAAGGCAGTTGTTGCTTTAATTTATTTTTAAAAAGAAATTTATTACCTATTGTATAGCTGTAGAAAATATCCTTTCCTTGAGATCATCCTCGCCTTTTCTTAACCTTACAATTTCCTTTGAACATATATTGCCTTTTTCTTCTTTTTTTTTGGTGATGAAGATTGGCCCTGAGCTAACATCCATTGCCAATCTTCCTCTTCTTTTTTTTTGCTTGAGGAAGATTGTCCCTGAGATAACATCTGTGCCAATCTTCCTCTATTTTGTATGTGGAATGCCACCACAGCATGGCTTGGTGAGCGGTGTGTAGGTCCACGCCTGGGATCCAAACCCCAGGCTGCCGAAGTGGAGCATGCAAACTTAACCACTATGCCACCAGGCCGGCCCCTGCCTTTTTCTTCTTGCAACAATCTATCATTTACTTTTTATGACCAGTTTTATTTTAATTCTTATTTTGTCTGTTACGTGCTTATCTTTCTGAAAATTAACCACTGTATTTTTGATATAAACTTAAAAAACTCAGTTCCTGCTTTTGTCTCTATATTCCTGAAAGTTATTCAATAAAGCCAATATTTATAAAGGTTGCATTCATAGCCAAGGAGTCAGCATTAATTAAATTATAGATATAATTAAAATGTGATAAGCAGGATTGTCATATATGGCCATGTAAATTGTTCTGTGTATACCCTATATAACTGCATGTTTTGGTCTTCATTAAAGTAATTGTGAAGGAGAAAATTTTTGTGCCAAGTAAAAGTGGCATAAATATGCATAGTTTAAACAAGAGATATATGGCAGTATTAGTTGTTCGCAGTACGTGTTCTCCCGATCTTATGTCAGTTTAAAACAAAACGAACCCCTCAGAATTTAGCTGGGTGTGTAGAAAAAGACTACATTTCTCAGGTTCTCCTGCATCTAGGAAGAGCCATGTGACAAGGTTATGGCTAATGACATGTGAGCAGGTGTAATATATGTCATGTCTGGATTTAATTCTAAAGGAAGGGATCTTATCCTTTTTTCATTTTCCCTTTCCTACTGACTGCAATGTGGCCATGTTGATACATCATAGTCCACAAGGATGAGGCTGATACCATACATAGCAAAGCTGTAAGTTAGAATGAGCCTTGCTCCTGAAGAATTTACAAGACTAAACCACCATACCTCTTCAGACTTTAATGTGAAAGAAATAAACTCTAGTATTGTTTAATCCACTGTTATTTTTGTGTCTCTGTTATAGCTTCTAATCCTATATCCAAAATAATACAGGGCTGAAATGTGCTGCACCAAAGTATTCAGTGCTATCATATATATGTGTATAATTTAAAATGAAACTTTCTTAACTAAACACTAAAAATTTTCTTTGCATTCTAAGAATTTAGGAGGGTAATTTACAGTGGCTTAGATTACCCAGTATGGTGGACAGTGTTGGTGCTCTGCCCAGATCCCCTCAGATCCTTTTTGACCATATTTTTATGGATATAGGGCAGGAGGGTGGGCCACCTTGTCTTTAGTTGTGCTTTTGCTTTTAACATCTAGATCTGTGACTCTTTTTTAAAATTTTTACTTAAAATTTTTTTCTTCCAGTTTTATTGAGATATAATTTTCATGTAACATTTTATTAGTTTAAGGTGTATGACATAATGATGTGATATACGTATATATTGTGAAATGATCACCACAATAACTCTAGTTAACGTTATCACTACACATAGAAATTTTTTTTCTTGTGATGAGAACTTTTAAGATTTACTCTCTTAGCATATGATGACTTTAAACATTCACCACTTGATGATGGTGTATGGTAATTTTAATGTATTGTTGAGTTCGATTTGCTAATAACTTGTTGAGGATTTTTGCATCTTGTTCCTCAAGGATGTTGGCTTTTAATTTTCTTTTCTTGTGGCTCTTAGTTTCATTGATCTTTTCTATCTTCATTTTAATCTCTATTTCATTTATTTCCATTCTGATCTTTATTATTTCCTTCCTTCTACTACCTTTGGGCTTCGTTTGTTCTTCTTTTTCTAGTTTTTTAAGGTGTAAAGTTAGGTTGTTTATTTGAAATCTTTCATATTTCTTGATGTAGGCATTTATTGCTATGGACTCCCTCTTAGAATTGCTTTTGCTGTATCCCATAAGTTTTTGTATGTTGTATTTCCATTTTCATTTGTCTCAAGGTATTTTTTGATTTCTCTTTTGAATTCTTCCTTGACCCATTGGTTTGTTCAGTAGCATGTTGTTTGATCTCCACATATTTATGAATTTTCCATTTTATTCTTGTAATCAATTTCTAGTTTCATACCATTGTGCTCAGAAAAGATGCTTGATATGATTTAAATCTTAACTTTATTAAGACTTGTTTTTTTGCCTAACATATGATCTATCCTGGATAATGTTTCATGTGTGTTTGAGAAGAATGTGTATTCTTTTGCTTTTGGATGAAGTGTTCCCTATATGTCTGTTAAATCCATGTGGTCTAATGTGTTGTTTATGGCCAATGTTTCCTTACTGATTTTCTATGTGGATGATCTATCCACTGATGAAAGTGGGATTTAAAGTCCCCTATTATTGTATTGCTGTCTGTTTCTCCCTTTAGGTCTGTTTATGTATTTAGGTGCTCCTATTGTGGGTGTGTAAATATTTACAAATGTTATATCCTCCTGTTGGATTGACCTTTAACATTATATAATGACCTTCTTTGTCTCTTATCAGTCTTTGTTTTAAAGTCTATTTTGTCTGATAGAAGTATAGCTTCCCTAGCTTTCTTTTGGTTTCCATTTGCATGGAATATCTTTTTCCACCCCTTCACTTTCAGTCTGTGATTGACCTTACATCTGAAGTGAGTCTCTTATAGGCAACATATAGATGAGTCTTGTTTTAAATATCCATTCAGCCACTCTCTCAATTGAATAATTTAATCCATTTATATTTGAAGTAACTATTGATAGGGTTGTACTTATTGCCATTTGTTGTTTTCTGACTGTTTTGTAATTCCTTTGTTCCTTCTTCTCCTCTTGTTTTCTTTGTGATTTGTAATTTTCTGTACTGGTATGCTTAAATTCCTTTGTCTTTATCTTTTATGTATGTACTATAGGTTTTTGCTTTGTGGTTACCATGAGGCTTACATAAAGCAACTTATAATAATCTATTTTAGGTGATAACAACTTAAGTTTGAATGCATTCTAAAGCTCTGTGTTTTTAACCCAGTCCCACATTTTATGTTTTTGATGTCACAATTGATCTTTTTTTCTTGTGTATCCATTAACAAATTGCTGTAGCTATAGTTTTACTGCTTTTGTCTTTTAACTTTCATACTACCTTTATAAATGATTAACCCACCACCTTTATAACTTTAGCTTATTTTGAATTTTACTATATATTTACCTTTTCCGGTGAGATTTATACTTTTATGTGTTTTCCTGTTACTAAATAACACCCTTTTGTTTCAGCTTATAGAAGTTATTTTTTAACATTTCTTGCAAGGCCAATCTAGTGGTGATGAATTCTTTCAGTTTTTGCTTGTCTAGAAAACTATTTCTCCTTCTATTCTGAATGACAGCTTTCCTGGGTAGAGAATTCTTGGTTGGCATTTTTTTTCTTTCAACACTTTGAATATATCTTGCCACTCTCTTCTGGTCTGTAAAGTTTCTGCTGAATAATCTGCTGATAGTCTTATGGGAGTTTCTTATATGTAACAAGTTGTTTTTCTCTTGGTGCCTTTAAGATTCTCTCCTTGCCTTTAACTTTTGACACATTATTATATGTCTTACTGTTGTTCTCTTTGGCTTCATCATATTTAGGATCTCTGTGTGTCCTGGATCTGGATGTCTGTTTCATTTGCCAGATTAAGGAAGTTTTCAGCCCTATGTCTTCAAGTTGTTTGTCTGCACCTTTTTCTCTCTCTTCTCCTTCAAGGACTCCTATATTGCAGATGTTGGTCAGCTTGATGTTGTCCCATAAGTCCCTTAAGCTTTGTTCACTCCTTTTCATTCTTTTTCTTCTGCTCTTCTGATTAGGTGAGTTCCACTGCCCTGTCTTTGAGTTCACTGATCCTTTTTTCGACTTCATTTAGTCTGATGTCCAACCCCTATGTTGTATTTTTCAGTTCAGTTATTGTATTCTTCGTCTCTGTGATTTCTATTTGGTATCTTTTCTATTTTCTCTTTCTTTGTTGAAATGCTTCCTTTGTTCATCCATTTCTTCTGATCTCAGTGACCATCTTTATCATCATTATTTTGAACTCCTTATTGGGTAAATCACTTATCTCCATTTCATTAAGGTCTTTTTCTTTAGTTTTCCTTGTTCTTTCATCTGGAACATATTCCTATTTTTCTTTGTTTTACTTGGCTCTTTATGTTGGTTTCTATGCATTAGATATACCAGCCACCTCTCCTTGTCTTGAAGGAGTGGTCTTGTGTAGGAGATGAATCTTATTGGTCAGCTCTACCCCAGCTCTAAGTTGTTTCTCAAACCTTGGTGATTGTTCAAGCAGCCTATTTTATTTTTAGTGGCTCCCAGTAGTTGAGGGTGTATTAAGACCTGTCAGTGTCCCAAAGGGGAGGATCTCAGTCAGCACTTGGATTCAGGCTGATTGAAACCAGACCCTCAGGCAGTAGCTTTTATTTTATTTTATTTTAATTAATTAATTAATTAATTTTTTGGTGAGGAAGATTGGCCCTGAGCTAACATCTGTTGCCAATCTTCCTCTTTTTGCTTGAGGAAGATTGTCCCTGAGCTAACATCTGTGCCCATCTTCCTCTATTTTGTATGTGGGTCACCACCACAGCATAACTTGATGAGCGGTGTGTAGGTCCATGCTTGGGATCTGAACCTGCAAACCCCGGGCCCCCAAAGTGGGATCACAGGAATTTAACACTGTGTCACCTGGCTGGCCCCAAGGCAGCAGCTTTTAAAGTATGCAAATATACCTCTTTCAGGGGAAGACTGGGAGATGAGTGTTTCTGTCTGTTCACTCT